AGACAAAGTATATGTGAACTGCTGTATAGAAAGTGAACTTGCTCTGTAAATCTTCACCCAAATCACAATTAAAAAAAAAAAAAGAGAGAGAGAGAGAAAATAGAACCAGCCTTACTGATATGGACAAGGTAAAGCTTTTGAGACCTCAATTTGCTGACGTGGCATGACTCAAATTGAGGAGAAACAGCTGTAAACATCCATTAATAATTGGAACATTGTCAATGGAGAGAAGACTAAAGTTGTCAAGGACTTCATTTTGCTGGGATTCACAATCAATGCCTATGGAAGCAGCAGTCAAGAAGTCATATATATATACTTCACTGGTGTTGTCCTCTGGCAAACCCAGCCTGAGACACCATGGACTTCCAGAATGAACAAATCTGTCTTGGAAGTATAGTCAGAATACTCCTTAGATACTCAGACTATCTTTGGAGGGTGATGAGACTTCATCTCATGTATTTTGGACATGTTATCAGAAGGGACGTCCCTGGAGAAGGACATCATGCTTGGTAAAGTGAAGGTCAGTGGAAAAGAGGAAGACCTTCAACGAGACGGATTGACACAGTGGCTACAACAATGGGCCAAACATAGCAATGATTATGAGGATGGCACAGGACTGGGCAGTTTTTCATTCTGTTGTACATAAGATTGCTGTGAATTGGAGCCAACTCAACAGCACCTAACAACAACAAGAGTTTTGACAAAAGCATAAATTCATGTGGTCACTATAACAGTAACATAAAGAATAGTTTCACTGACCTAACAATGCCCCATACTTCACCTATTCACCCCTCCTCATCCTCCCCAAGCCTCTGGGAACTGCTGATGTTTTCACTGTCCACTTAGTTGTGTCTTCTCTGGAATGCTGAAACCATACAGTATGCAGCTTTCTCAGATAGGCCTCATTCACTTGTTGTTGTTGGGGGCTGGCAAATCAATTCTGATTCATGGTGACCCATGTGACAGAGTAGAACTGTTCCATAGGGTTTTCTAGGGTGTAATGTCTATGGGAGCAGATGGCCAGATCTTTCTCCCACAGAGCTGCTGGTTGGCAGTATGCAGTTAAGATTCTCCCATGTCTCTTTGTGTGTTTATTTTGCAAGATTTCAGACATATGCCCAAGGAAACAGAATAGTATAAAGAAACCCCATGTACCCACAATCCAGCATCAACAATGATTAACTCTTGACTCTCAGTTCATCTGTACTCCCGCCTTTTCCCTAATTTTTGTTTTATTGTAAAGCCAATCCTGGGCATTTTATTATTTAATCCAAAAATATTTCAGTGGACATCTCTAAAAGATAAGAACTCTTCTCTTCTTAAAATAATCATAACTACGATACTATTCTCCTAAGTGTTCGTTACTTAAGCATGGTAAGGACCACTCAGCAGCGATCACATTGGCCAGGGTAGTGCAGGAAGACCTCTGGGAGTAGACATCATGTCCAGGTGTCCAGGTGGAGCAGAAGCCAAGTGAAGATAAGGGTGAGATGGGGAGGGCTCCAGGTAGGGGGACCTGTGAGAGGTGGCCAGAAGCCTGGACTGTAGTGGCTGGGTGTGATGTGTCAGGAGAGGTGGGGTGAGAGGGCTCAGAGCTGGGCCCAAGTGGATTTCATCTAATTATGCTGGGAGCACTGCAGGGTGTTGAGCAGGACTGTGACAATGTTTATAAAGCCCGCTAGCCACACTGTGGAAGGCAGAGGTGGAAGCAGGATGTGGAAGATGTCACAAACTGAACCTATTCTCCTGGCATTTCCTCTTCTGTCTCCAACAGGGGAAGATTTTTGAGACACTGAGAATCTGCTCTATGCCCAGATTTGTCCGTTTCATGCATGATCTGATGCCTCTAAAGACGGACCCAGATGTCTTGGTCACAGACCTCCGCTTCGGGACGATCTCTCTGAAGCTGTACCAGCCGAAAGCATCCTCCTTGACCCTCAAGCCTGGTGTTGTGTTCTACCATGGCGGTGGGATGGTCTTTGGGAGCTTGAGTAAGCGCCCTTTCCTCACATCTCACAAAGAACCAGAGCACCCCCACACCCACGGTGGTGACATCACTTTTCAGCATGAGGCCATGTAATAAAACAGACCCCAGCATCTTCCCAGAGTTTAAAAATCAGTCTTATGGCCAAGGATTACTCACACAGTGAATGAGTCTGAGATCATTCAAGTGGCAATTATATGAAATATATCAATATATTTTTGGAAGTAAGATGAATATATATATTGCTGTGGAGTCAATTCCAACTCATGGTGACCTTATAGGACAGACTAGCACTGCCTCATAGGGTTTCCAAAGCTGTAATCTTTATGGAAGCAGATTACCACATCTTTCTCCCACAGAGTGGCTGGTGGGTTCAAATCACTGACTATCTCTCCCTCTGTGTTTTTACTGAGGTGAAATTCACATAACATTAACCATTTTAAAAAGTACGATTCTGTGACTTTTCATACATGCACGTTGTGTGCAACCATCACCTCTGCTTAGTTGGAAGTAATGATATTTCAAGTGAAAATAAATGAACACATTATTTCACATCAAGTATTGCCTGACACAAATTCTGGTACAAACAAGAAGACCAGAGATTTGAGGAAAATTAACGAGAGGAAAAATTCAAAACTGAGACAATTCTATTGCCTTGATTTTTTTTCCATTGCAAATGTGAAGAAAACTACCATTTTTTTTTTTTTTTAAATTTCTGCTGTGCAATCTTGGAATGCCAGGGTCCCATTGCAGTAGATGGTTAGATAGATAGATAGATAGATAGATAGACAGACAATAGATAGGTAGATCAATGATAGATGACAGATGATAGGTAGATATACAGATAGACAGACAGACAGACAATAGGTAGATAGATAGATAGCTGCTGTTGAGTTGACTCCTACTTGTGATGACCTTATGTAGAGCAGAACAAAATGTTGCTCAGTTCTGCGTCATCTTCGCCGTGGTTGGCATATTTAAGTCCATCATTGCTGCTACTGTGCCTGCCTTTCTCACTGAGGGTCTTCTTGGTCCTTGCTAGCCCTCTATTTTACCAAACATATTGTCTTCCTCCAGTGAGTGATCCCTCCTGATGATGTGTTCAAAGCCAGTGAGTAAGACAATGTTTTGTTGTGATCTGAAGGTTTTCAGTGGCTAATTTTTGAAAGTAGATCACCAGGCCTTTCTTCTAGTCTGTTTTAGTCTGGAAGGTCTACTGAAACCTGTCCACCATGGGGGACCCCACTGGTACTTGAAATACCAGTGATGTAGCTCCCAGCATCACAGCAACATTCAAGTCACTATAGTACAACAAACTGACAGATGGACAGTGGCCCACTGTAATAGGGATGAGAATAGGAAATTAATGAATTAGTGGTTCCTATTTGGTCTGCATGATAAAATGTTGATAACGAAATATTTATTAAGTGCTTAGTTTGAGCTGGGCACCCTGGAAGCCCTTCCTGTGCTTTACCTCATTTAATCCTCACAACAGTCCTAGGAGGGAGATATTGTCATGATCTTTATTTTACAAATGAGAAAAATCAAGGCTGAGAGAGTAAGGGATTGCCAGGAGCTACTTTAGCTCAAACCAAAAAGAGACAAATTAGGATTTGAAGTCAGGCCTGTGGAACTCCCAAATATACATCCTTTCCATGTTGACATCCAGTGCTCTACTGTCAATCAGCTTCTTAGACATTTAATGATAGTAGAATCCATCAGAGGGGTTGGCATCTCATAGAAAGTTGTTCAGACATCATGACAGAAGAGAAAGACTGATATTTCAAGGAAGCTTGCTGGGGGGCTAAAAGCAAATGTGCAAAACCTAGGAGAGTCTGATTTTTCAGAAGTAGATTGTCAGCCCTTTCTTTTTTTTTTTTTTTTTTTTTTTTTTTTTTTTTTTTTTAATTAGGATTTGGGTGAAGATTTACAGAGTAAATTCACTTTTCATACAGCAGTTCACATATACTTTGTCTCATGTCATTGACCAAAATTCACAATGCAGCAGCTCCCCTCCCACTTCCTCCCCATAGTTACCTCCTCCCAGTGTCCATCCCTTCATACTCTTCTGCACCCTGAGCTATCTCCCTGTGCATAAGCAGCCCTTCCTTCTCCCATGATTGTTCTCTCCAGGGCGTGTGTCTACTTGAGGTAAATGTTTAACTCACATGCCTGTACTTTGTTTGGCTGGAAACCACAGTTGTAGGTTCAATTCCAGACCTGAAGGGCAGCTAGGGGCCATAGTCTCAGTGGTTACACCAGGCTCCATTGGACCAGCAAACCTGGTCCCCACCTTTTTTTTTCTTTTCTTTTTTTTTGCCTCCAAATGATTTTGAGTTTTGTACCACATTGTTCTCCCTCTTTATGCAGGATCTCCTACATCCCTTCCAAGTGGATGGCAGTGGTAGCTGGGCACCATCTAGTTCTTCTGGTCTCATAGTTGTATAGGTTGCAGATCGAATGGTGTACCAGTTTCAGCCCTTTCTTTTGAATAGCCTGACTCTGGGGGGACTTGGACATCCAACCTTTCAATTAGTAGCCAAGCACATTCACTGTTTGCACCAAACCCTATGGGGCACTATTTTGCTCCAACACCCACAGGGTTGGCTGACACACATGAGTTGGAATTGATTTGCTGACAACTGGAAAGTTTGAATCTGCCCAAGCCCTTGGTCATGTCATCAGTAAGAAGGGAGCAGCTAACAAAAGCTGGCAAAGGAAGACCCCTGGCTCCCATAGTGAATGTTAAAAACCTTTTATTTTCTAGAAACCCATCATGGCATATGCACTCGTTTGTGCAAGGAGAGTGACTCGGTGGTTCTAGCTGTTGGGTGAGTAAAGGGGAGAATGGGGAAGGTGCCAAAAAGTCTGGGTGGGATCCTGAGTGATGGGTGGGGGGCAGTTGGAAGCAGATAGACAGGTGAGGAACTGGAGGAACACCAGGAGGAAGGGATGGGTTGTGTGAAGCCAGTGAAGAGAAGAGGAAGGAATAGGAGAGGCAGAACAATGTCAAAGAAGAGAATGAGGAAACCATCCCTTTGTGTGGCCCTTTTGGATGTTTAAACAGGGGCATTTAGTGCATGAAATTATCTGTAAGCAGCATGGGATGTGGGGTTGTTAATCAGATGAGTTGTAGAGTTTTTCAACAGGAACACTTTTGGATAGAACACTGTGGAGTGGAACAGCCCAGCACGTACAGGACACTTAGCACCTCCTCCACTAAGTGCCAGCAGTGCCCTGTACAGTTACCAGGACAACCACAAACACTGTCACAACCATTTCCAAGTGCTCCCTGGAGGGAAGTCCACCCTAGCTGAGAACCCCCATAAGAAGTGAGAAAAATGAAAAACCACTCTCATAACTGGTCTTTGAGTCATCTACCCACCTAGAACCTCAAAGAGGGCTTGGTGACATTGAGTGGGGAACTGGGGTGGCCCCCTATTGAGTCTCCACATAAAGCAAACAGGGTCTGTATGAGGAGCTATCATTGCAAGTGGTGTGGCCTGGTCCTCCTGCTTTGCTGCTTGCTGCACAGGGTCAGTTCCTCCTGATGAAGCTTTCTGCACAGTCTCATTTTAATTGCATATCCTATTAAGAATGAGCAGAACACTTTGGAACAACTAAGGGAGACAAACTTGTCTGTCAGTTTGTCATACTATGGTGGCTTGAGTGTTGCTGTGAGGCTGGAGGCTATGCCACCAGTGTTTCGAATGCCAGCAGGATTACCCATGGCAGACAGGTTTCAGCATAGCTTCTAGACTAAGACAGACTCAGAAGAAGAAAGAGGTCATCCACTTCTCAAAGAATTGTCCAGTGAAAACCTTTTAAATAGTAGTGAAACACTGTCTGATATATTGCTGGAAAACTTCATGAATAGCTCTGAAACATCATGTGATATAGTGCTGGAAGGTGAGCCCCTTAAGTTGGAAGGCATTCAAAATACAACTGGAGAAGAACTGCCTCCTCAGAATAGAGCCAACCTTAATTATGTGGATAAAATAAAGCTTTCAGTACCCTCACTTGTTGATGTGGCATGTCTCAAGATGAGAAGAAACAGCTGCAAACATCCATTAGTAATCAGAACATGGAATGTATGAAATATGAATCCAGGAAAATCAGAAGTTGTCAAAAATGAAATGTAATGCAAAAAGATGAATATCCCAGGCATTAGTCAGCTGAAATGGATTGGTTTTGGCCATTTTGAATCAAACAATCATGATCTACTATGCGGGGAATGACAAACTGAAGAAGAATGGTGTTCTGGTTAGCTAGTGCCACTCTGACAGAAATATATCACAAATGGGATGGCTGGAACAAACAGAAGTTTATTCTCTTACAGTTCAGGAGGCTATAAGTCTGAGTTCAAAGTGCCAGGCTCTAGGGGCTGGGTGAAAGCCCCTCGACCTTGGGCTTCAGCTCTGCCTCTTCCTCCTGGCCCACTGAAACTAGAGGCATTTCTTCACTCAGGCAGCTACTGGCTGCTGTGGCTGACAAGCCCAAGGTCAACAAATAAAATGGCACAGTCCCAACATTACCACACCACATGGCAGGCCATTAATTCAAGTCCATTGAAAGTCCCAAGCAGAGCATGGCAAGCTGCTGAAAAATGGCACAGCTACATGCAGGGTTCAAGTGTGCCATAAGCTGGAGACCATTCACAAAGTTGTTTCTTATATACAGGAAGCAGACCACATACCCAAAACAGCTACTCAGTGGCTCCAATAGATTTCACCATGGAGTTAATTACCAGTCTCACTATGGGGAATTACTACATTCAGCTGCCCAGCCACTCAACCAGGCCTAGCCAAGTTGACACACAAACTTAACTAACACAAATGGCACGGCATTCATCATCACAAAGAATGCATCAAGATTTATCCTGAAGTACAATGCTGTCAGTGATGGGATAATATCCATACACCTACAAGGAAGATCAGTTAATACTACTATTATTCAAATTTACACACCAGCTACCAAAGCCAAAGATGAGGAAATTGAAGATTTTTACCAACTTCTGCAGTCTAAAGTTGATCAAACATGCAGTCAAGATGTGTTATATATCACTGGTGACTGGAATGCAAAAGTTGGAAAGTAAGAAGAATCACTGGTAGTTGGAACATATATGGCCTTGGTGATAGAAAAGACACTGGAGATTGTGTGATAGAATTTTACAAGACCAACAACTTATTCATTGCAAAGACCTGGAGTTAGAAAACCAAAAGAGAAGAACACTCTTGGCATTCCTCAAGCTGAAAGAACTGAGGAAAAAATTCAAGCCTCAAATTGCAATATTGAAGGACACTGTGGGCAGTATGATGAATGATGCAGGAAACATCAAAAGAAGATGGATGGAATATACAGAGTCACTATACCAAAAAGAATTTGTCGATGATCATCCATTTCAGGAGGTGGCATATGATCAAGAACCAATGTTATTGAAAGAAGTCAGAACTGCACTAACAGAACTGGTGAAAAACAAGGCTCTAGGAATTGACACAATGCCCACTGAGATGTTTCAACAAACGGATGCCATGCTGGAGGCACTCACTCAGCTATGCCAAGATATTTGGAAGACAGCTACCTGGCCAACTGACTAGAAGAGATCAACATTTGTACCCATTCCAAAGAAAGGTGATCCCACAGAATGTGGAAATCATTCAACAATATCATTGATGTCACGTGCAAGTAAAATCTCACTGAAGATAATTAAAAAATGGTTGCAGCAGTATATTGACAGAGAACTTCCAGATATGCAAGCTGGATTCAGAAGCAGACATAGAATGAGGGATCTCATAGCTGATGTCAGATGGATCTTGGCTCAAAGCAAACAATACCAGAAAGATGTTTACTTGTGTTTTATTGACTATGCAAAAGCATTTGATTGTGTGGATCATAACAAATTATGGGTAACATTGAGAAGAATGTGAATTCCAGAACACTTAATTGTACTCATGAGGTACATAGACCAGGAGGCTGTCATTCAAACAGAACAAGGGGATACTGCATAGTTTAAAATCAGGAAGGGAGTGGGTCAAGGTTGTATCCTTTCACCAAACTTGTTCAATCTGTATGCTGAGCAAATAATCTGAGAAGCTGAATTATATGAAGAAGAACGTGGATCAGGATTGGAGAAAGAATCATTAACAACCTGAGATACACCAACAACACAACTTTGCTTGCTGAAAATGAGGATTGACTTGGAGCACTTACTGATGAAGATTAAAGAATACATAACAGTCTGGAGTATGGATTACACTTCAATATAATGAAAACAAAAATCCTCACAAATGGACCAATAAGCAGCATCATGATAAATGGAGACAATATTGAAGTCGTCAAAAACTTCATATTATTTGGTTGTACAATCAACACCAATGGGAGCAGCAGTCAAGACATCAAAAGATGTATTTCATTGGGCAAATCTGTTGCAAAAGACCTCTTTCAGGTGCTGAAGAACAAAGATGTCTCCTTGAAGACTAAGATGCACATAACCCAAGCCATGGTATTTTCAATCGCCTCATATGCATGTGAGAGCTGGACAATGAATAAGGAAGACCGAAGAAGAGTTGATGCTTTTGAGTTGTGGTGTTGGCAAAGAATGCTGAAAGTACCGTGGACTGCTAAAAGAACTAACAAATCTGTCCTGGATGAAGTGCAACCAGAATGCTCCTTGGAAGCAAGAATGGACAGACTTTGTCTGACCTACTTTAGTCATGTTGTCAGAAGGGACCATTCTCTGAAGAAGGATGTCATGCTTGGTAAATTGGAGGGTCAACAAAGGAGGGGAAGGTGCTCAATGAGATGGACTGACATGGTGGCTTCAGCAATGGGCTCAGACATAGTAGGGATCGTGAGGCTAGCACAGGACCAGGCAATGTTTCGTTCTGTTGCACATAAGGTGACTTATGAGTCAGAGACAACTTGATGGCACCTAACAACAACAACATGATTAAGAATGTTCTTGTTGTTAGTTTCCATTGAGTTGTCCCCCAGTTCATGATGACTCTATACACAGTGGAAAAAAGCACTGCCCGATCCTGACCCAATGATCAGTTGTAGATCAGACTGTTGTGATCGAGGTAGATCTGCTGACCTGCATTCCTAGTCTGTCTTAGTCTGGAAGCTCTGCTGAAACATGTTCAGCATCATAGCAACCATAGCAACATGCAAGCCTCCACTGACAGACCAGTAGTGGCTGCACATGAGGTGCACTGGCCATGAATCAAACTTGAGTCTCCCTCATGGAAGGCAAAAATTTTACCACTGAACCACCAATATCCTTCATTAAGAAATGTTAGCAGTTGCCAGTATCTCAGTGGGAATTTCTGTCACAGCTTTCTAATGGCACAACTAGTTGAAAAGGGTAAAAATCACAGAAATAAATCCTGGATCAGGGAGAGGGACTGAGAAATGTCTCCCTTTCCTATTCTTAGCTCCAAAACCATTTCTGCAGTGGGATGAAAATCTTGACTCAGTTGTTGACACTTACACCTTACTGTTTGGGCCTGTGCTGAACAAAGAGATCATTGATGGAACGTGCTGGCAAAGGTTATTTGATGAATTTGAGGTAGACAGGGTTTTGGAGTTGAAAGTGTGGCTATCTGTACATAACCCCAGGGTAGATTGAAATATGCTGGATCAGAATGATAAGGCTCAGGAAGATTTGGTCATCTCACAGAATGTTTATTTTCTTTAAAATTTGTAGCCAGTATTTAAAAATTGTGAAACTTCTCATAACGTCAAGTTTCTGGAATCTTTTGAAAAATCAAAGGTCTAGTAATGTTGGCTGATGTTCCTGCATGGAGATAGTGGGGCAGGATGCATGTGACCGGTTTGGAGGAGCCTGACGTGTTATCTGCTGGCCCTTGGAAGTAGTTAAGTCTACAAAATCTTCTCACTGAACCTGAGGCATGAAGATTTTGTTTGATTGTTTGTTTAAATTGTGCTTTGGGTACAAGTTTACAGAGCAGAATTTGTTTTACATTCAACAGTTCGTGTGCATTTGATTTCACTCCCTGATTACCATCCCTAACGTAACCCACTCCCTCCTCTCCCTTCCCTGTGACCCTCTATCCATGTGCCCATCTTGGATAAGCACTCCTGTCTGTCCAGCTTTCCTTCCATGTGAATGTTGCCCCTCTGGTTCCCCATAGCTGATAACTGTAAGGGGTGTATCTCCATAGAGTAGGTGGGTGCATTGCCCTGGGTTGGGTATTTTGCATGTGAGTCTTACTACTGTTGGGCTGAGAGCCAGTCCTTGGGAGTGAGTACTGTCCCAGGCCTGAAGTCTTGGGGGTCCCACCAGACTCCATCCAACTGGTAATTCTGGTCATTATTGTGTATCTGAATTTTGTTCCATATTTTTCCTCCCACTCTATCCAGGATCTCCAGTTTTGATCCCTTCCCAAGTGCTTGGCATTTGTAGCTGGGCACCATCTAATTCTTCTGGTCTCGAGGGCCATCATATCCTAGGGCTGATTGTTTCCAAATGCCCTGGTTTTCTTCACTCCTCTTCACTTCAGACAAGAGGAAACCATTAGCTGCATCTTAGATAGCCTCTTGAAAGCTTTTAAGACCTTAGTTGCTACTCACTAAAGTAGGTTGTTGAACAAGATTTTTATGTATTATTTTGTGCCAATTGAGCCTGGTATCCCCCAATACTATAGTCCTGAGTCAGCAGATCTGGTGATTCTCTCTCCCAAGGTGTCTGGCTGTCTGAGGGATTGCTCCAAGTCTGTCTTCTGTTGCTTCTGTAATGATTGTGATTATTTTATATCACTAGTATCTGTGCAAGAATATCCTCAGCTGAATCTATCATTTGTCTAGAGTATATTCCTGTTCACTGAGCCCCATCTGATCTTCTCAATTGTCTATGTATTTATCTGTAGCCTGGTATTTGGTGTTAGTGGTAATGCTGTATTGTGCATATACTTGTATTAGCCTCTGCCATCTGTATATTATGTGCACAATTCAGTGTCCTCCCTTTCTCCAATGTTATCATGCAGGTCACAGACTCTTTCCATATCATCCCTCCCCTTGCACAACTCAGCATGTGGCCCCCAACTAGTCCGAAAATTTCCCCTCTCCTTCCCTCCCATCCCCAGTAACCTACCAATTGAGTTCCCTTTTCTAAGCAAACACTTTCTTGACTTTTTACAGTAATGAACTCAGATAATATTTGTCCTTCTGTGACTGACTTGTTTCACTCAGCATAATGTCCTCCAGATTCATCCACATTGTGAGATAATTTGTATAATCTTCATTGTTCTTTAATATACCATAGTATTCCATTGGGTAAATATACCATAATTTGGTTTTCCATTCATCTGTTGATGGGCATTTAGGTTGTTTCCATCTCTTTGCTATAGTGAATTGTGCTGTGATGAACATGGCTGTGCCTATGTCTGTGTCCTGTCTCACCTCTTTGCAATATATTCCTAGTAATAGAATTGCTGGTTCAAATGGTATTTCTATTTTCAGTTTTTTAAGGAAATGGCATACCATTTTCCACAATGTTTGTACCATTTTACAGTCCCACCAGCTGTGTATGAGAGTTCCAATCTCTCTGCAGCCTTGCCAGCATTTATTATTTTCTGTCTTGTTGAACTTTGCTATTATTGCTGGGGTGAGATGACATCTCATCGTTATTTTGATTTGCATCTTTCTAATGGCTAATGATCATGACCGATTCTTTATGTGTTTATAGGCCGCCAGCATATCATGTTTAGTGAAGCATCTATTCCTGTCCCTTGCCCATTTTTGAATTGGATTGTTTGTCTTTTTGGTGTTGAGGTGTTGAAGTTTTCTATAAATTTTGGAGATAAGTCCTTTGTCAAATATGTCATAGGCAAATACTTTCTCCCAATCTGTAAGTTCTCTTTTTACTCTTTTGAAGAAGTCTTTTGATATGCGTAAGAACCTAATTTTTAAAAGGTCCCAGTCACCTAGCTTCTCTTCCACCTCCTGTGCATTCTGGGTTATGCTTGATAGTCTATTTAAGGCATGCAGGATTAATTAGAATCAAAACCCAGGCAAACCTGGAGTTGCCCATAAACAAATAATAAAATAGGAGCAGAGAATAGGTGTGATTTAGGGAAGCAACATCAGGTAGGTTCAGAGAGACAGGGCTAGTGTTGGCCAATAGCTGTGTGACAGGGTGTTTGTGGTCATGGCTGGTTCCCCAACAGGTCTTTGGGTGGTAGAAATTATAGCTACCACTTACTTGGTCCATCCTGTATAGTAGCCACTGAAGGTTTTAGGTCTAGCATCATTTAAGCCTCACACCTAATTTCACCTGATCAGATTTCAGAAAAAGAAAGCACTGGGAAAAAAAAAAAAAAAATCAGGTTAAAGGATGCTAAGAAACAATGAAACAAAACCAGTTGCCATCAAGTTGATTCTGACTCATGGCAAAATGACATGTGTCAGAGCAGAACTGCTCCATAGGGTTTTCATGGTTGTGACCTTTTGGAAGCAGGTAACGAAGCCTTTCTTCTCAGACATCTCTGGGTGGGTCTGACCATCAACTTTTCAGTTAGTAGCTGAGGCTTCACTGTTTGCACCATCCAGAAACTCCTAAAGAATGCTAGATGCAGATATGTCTTGGCTCTGTTGGGGTGGTAAGTGTAAGCTATGTTCTTTGATTCCTTCCTAGATACCGCATGCTCCCTGACCATAAGTTTCCAGTGTTGAAAACAGACTGCTTTGCTGCCACGATCTACTTCCTGAAATCTCTAAAGGCCTATGGGGTGGATCCCACCCGGGTTGTGGTCTGTGGTGACAGTGTGGGAGGTGGAATTGCAGCTCTGGCTTGTCAAGAACTCAGGAGGAGGGTGGATCTCCCTAAGATCCGTGCTCAGATTCTGGTCTACACTTTTCTGCAAGGCCTGGACTTTCAACTCCCTTCCTATCAGCAGAACAAGAACGTGCCCTTGCTCACTCGGCAATTTGCCTTCTACTGCTGGAGTCATTACCTGGATATCAGCCCCTCCTGGGAAAGCACGATCTTGAAGGGTGCCCATTTGCCTGTCAAAATCTGGGAAAAGTATCGTAAGTGGTTGGGCCCAGAAAACATCCCAGAGAGATTTAAGCAACGAGGTTACCAGCAGATGTCCTGTGTGCCTGTGAATGAAGCTGCCTACTTGGAATCAAGCCTAGTTCTGGATATGGTGCCCTCGCCCCTGATTGCAGAAGATGACGTTGTAGCCCAGGTCCCGGAAGCTTGCATTGTGACCTGTGAGTATGATCTTCTGCGGGATGACTCACTGTTGTACAAGAAGAGGCTGGAGGATCTGGGTGTGCCAGTGACTTGGCACCACATGGAAGATGGCTTTCATGGCGTGCTCAACACTATTGACATGGGATTCTTGTACTTCCCTTGCTCCACAAGGATTCTGAATGTGATGGCCAACTTTATAAAGGGCTTATGACAACTTTTTTTTTTTTTTAAACTTTCCTGGACCCATGAAGATTGTGGATCTCTCATCACCCAGTTTTCCATGGGGTTCTCTGTTGCTGGTTTAGGTTACACTAAGTGAGGCTAGGAAGTTTGGAGGTTGCCACCTTCTCTCTGGTCCAGATTCTAGAATTATCAATGCATGTTTCTGATGTGTGAAGGGAAAGCAGTAGAGGGAATAGTTTTTGGGGCAGTGGTGGGAAGGGCTTTCTGTCCATGCTCACTGTTGGGAAATTTTGAGCTGATTATCTTCAGTGGTCACTTCTGAGCATGAATCAGCATGTAAGTGTTCCTCACAGCTTCCTTGAGGTTGAGTTCAGACTGTCCAAGGTAAGCTGTGAGTTTTGCCTCATTTTTATTCAGACTGTGTGCACTAGGAGTGTCCTGATTGGCTATAACTAGGAATAACACAGGGGCACTGATATAATCTCACGGGGGTTTTGCAATCTGGCTCAAAAGGTGAAGTTCAGATGTTCTAGAATGGTGGGTAGTGGTGGTTGGTGATAGTGGTGGAGGAACTGGGTTCAGTCTCCTCCTCTGGGTGAATGATGACACTTTTCCTGCTGGTTCCCAGACTTGCAGCTCAGAATCTTGACTATCTGTGCTAGAAAAGTTAAGTCAGCATGGATAATTTTTCATGGTGGTTGGTACCTAGTGGCAAATGAAGACAGCCTGGAGATGCCTAGTTGAGGGAGCTCTGGGCTGCCTGGAGTCAAAGCTGAGCTTCCAATCAAGGGCCTGAAAGCAACATTGTAGGAATTAGAGGAGGGAAACTAAGAGAGTAGATTTGTAGAGCTGGGAGAGAAACTAAGTCCTGAGTCAGAGCTCAACAAAGGCCTAGTAGGATGAAACTCAATCATGTCCACAGTGAGGAATCAGGAAAGGGCCAAAGAGACAGAAGATATATTAGTGAGAGATATTTCTTTTTAAGACATAGAACCATCTAAAATTAGCCTAAATTATAGAGAGAGTGCACTGGCTTATGTGATTATAAATTCTAGGGCTAAATCAGGGCTTGATCCCGAACTCAAACACTGCTACTAGCTGCCTTCTTTCTTTCTCTGTTCTACTCTCCTTTTTGTTGACTTCATCTTCATCCCTCAATCTGAGGGCACTTAGCAGCTCCATGCTAATCTCCTCCTAGAGTCAAGTTAACTATTATTTAAAATTTTTACTGTGCTTTGGGTGAAAGTTTACCAAGCAAATTCATTTTCCATACAGCAGTTCATACACATTTTGTCTCATGACGTTGACTACAATTTCTCACAGTGTAGCAGCTCTCTTCCCACTTCCTCCCCATAGTTATCTCTTGCATGTGTCCTTCCCTCCTATGCACTCCTGCCTCCTGAGTGGTCTCCCTGTGCATACATTGCCCTTCTGTTCTCCCATGATTGATCTCTCCAAGGAGAGTCAAGTTAATTATTATGAACTTGCCACATTTTTGCAGATTCAGCAAAAATCTCATCCTAATTCCATGGCTCTCCTGGTTTCCATTGTAGTGCATCGAGTAGCCACATCCAAGGGAATGGAATACTCTGACCAATAAGGCACAAGTTCTATGCCATTCTTGGACTGGAGAGTGGAGTCAGCTCCACCTGGTGCTTGGAGTTAGAGTGGAGGAGAAAATGCTTCCCTAAAAGAAGCATAAATGGATGTTGTCAAATGCCATCAAGTCGGTTCTGACTCATAATGAACCTACATATAACAGAACAAAATACTGCCCAGTCCTGCACCATCCTCACAATCATTGCCATGCTTGATTCCATTGCTGCAGCACTGTGTCAATCCCTCATTGAGGGTCTTCCCCCTTTTCACTGACCCTCTGCTTTACTAACCATAATATCCTTCTCCATAGACTGGTCCCATCTGACAATGTAGCCAAACGATGAGAAACAAAGTCTGGCTTCTGGAGCACTTCTAGGAGCATTCTGGCTGTACTTTCTCCAAGATAGATTTGCTCATTCTTCTAGCAGTACATGAGTATTGAGTATACTCAATACTCTTCTCCAACACCAAAATTCAGATACATAAATTCTTCTGTAGTCTTCCTTAGCCATTGTCCTGCTCTCACATGCATATGAGGCAATTGAAAATACCATGGTTTGGGTCAGGCACATCTTAGTATTCAAAGTGACATCTTTGCTGTTTAACACTTTAAAGAGGTCTTTTGCAGATTAGCACAGTGTAATATATCTCTAGTTGTTTGGAACAGCTAAGGGAGACAAATTTGCCCATCAGTTTGTCCTACTGTGGTGGCTTGTATGTTGCTGTGAGGCTGAAGGTTATGCCACTGGTGTTTCAAATGCCAGCAGGGTCACTCATAGTGGACAGGTTTCAGGGGAGCTTCCAGACTAAGGGACTCACAAGAGGGAAGAGGCTATCCACTTCTCAAAGAATTGGTCAGTGAAAATCTTATGAGTAGAGTGAAACAACTGTCTGATCTATTACTGGAAAGCTTTATGAATATTCCTGACACATTGTCTGATATAGTTCTGGAAGATGAGCCCCTCAGGTTGGAAGGCACTCAAAATACTACTAGGGAAGAGCTGCCTTCTCAGAGTAGAGCCGAACTTAATGAAATGGATAGAATAAAGCTTTCAGGACCTCCATTAGCTGTAGCATGACTAAAAATAAGAAAAACAGCTGCAAACATCCATTAAAAATTGGAAAATGGAATGCACAAAGTATGAATCTAGGAAAATTGGAAGTTGTCAAAAATGAAATGGAATGCATAAAAATCGATATCGTAAGCATCAGTGAGCTGAAACGGATGGGTTTTGGCCATTTTAAACCAGACAACCATATGATCTACTGTGCCAGGAATGACAAATTGAAGAAGAATGACATGGCATTCATCATCACAAAGAATGGTTCAAGATTTATCCTGAAGCACAATGCTTCACTGATAGGATAATATCCATACAAGGAAGACCAGTTAATAGTACTATTATTCAAATTTACACAACAACCACCAAAGCCAAAAATGAAGAAACTGAAGATTTTTACCAAATTCTGCAGTCTGAAGTTGACCAAACATGCAATCAAGTTGTATTGATTATCACTGGTGATTGGAATGCAAAAATGAGTAACAAAGAAGAATCATCTGTAGTTGGGAAATATGGCCTTGGTGATAGAAATAATGTTAGAGATTGCATGATAGAATTTTGCAAGACCAACGACTTCTTCATTGCAGGTACCTTTTTTCAACAACACAAACAGTGACTGTACACATGGACTTCACCAGATGGAGTACACGGGAATCAGATTAACTACATCTGTGGCAAGAGATGATGGAGAAGCTCAATATCTTCAGCCAGAACAAGGCCAGGAGCTGATTTTGGAACACACTGTCAACTGCTCATATGCAAGTTCAAGTTGATGTTGAAGACAACTAAAAGAAGTACATGAGAGCCAAAATATGACTTTGATTATATCCCTCCTGAATTTACAGACCATCTAAAGAATAGATAACAAATTATGGATATCATGCTTGGTAAAGTGGAGGGTCAACAAAAAAAGGGGAAGGCCCTCAACAAGATGGATTGACACAGTGGCTGCAGCAATGGGCTCAGGTGTAGAAAGGATTGTGAGGCTGGCACCGGATCAGGCAGTGTTTCGTTCTGTTTTACATAGGGTCACTGTGAGTCAGAGATGACTTGCTGGCACCTAACAACAACAACAACAACAAAGAATAGATCTGATGCATTGAACGCCAGTGACTGAAAACCAGAGGAATTGTGAGATGACATCAAGAGCATCATCCATGAAGAAAGCAAAAGGTCATTAAAAAGACAGAAAAGACCAAAATGGATGTCAGAAGAGACTCTGAAACTTACCCTGGAATGGAGAGTAACTAAAGTAAATGGAAGAAATGACAAGATAAAAGAGCTGAACAGGAGATTTCAAAGAGCACCTTGGAATGGAGAGTAACTAAAGTAAATGGAAGAAATGACAAGATAAAAGAGCTGAACAGGAGATTTCAAAGAGCAACTTGAGAAGACAATTATTATAATGAAATAATTATTATAATGAAATATGCAAAGACCCGGAGTTAAAAAGCCAAAAGGGAAGAACATGCTTGGCATTTCTCAAGCTGAAAGAACTGAGGGAAAAAAAATTAAGCCTCAAGTTGCAATATTGAAAGATTCTATGGGCAAAATATTGACTGATGCAGGAAACATCAAAAGAAGATAGAAGGAATACACAGAGTCACTGTGCCAAAAAGTACTGGTCAATCAACGTTCATCCATTTTGGGAGGTGCCATATTATCAAGAACCAATGTATTGAAGGAAGAAGATGAAGCTGCATTGAGGGAATTGGTGAAAAAACAGGCTCCAGGAATTGACAGGATACCCAATGAGATGTTTCAACAAATGGATGCCGTGCTGGAGGCATTCACTCGGTTATGCCAAGAGATTTGGAAGACAGCTATCTGACCAACTGACTGGAAGAGATCCATATTTGTACCCATTCCAAAGAAAGGTGATCCCATAGAATGGAAATTATAGAACAATATCATTAATATCACACACAAGTAAAATCTAACTGGAGATAATTCAAAAGTGGTTGCAGCAGTATTTTGACAGAGAACTTCCAGAAATGCAAGCTGGATTCAGAAGAGGACATGGAACAAGGGTTATCATTGCTGATGGCAGATGGATCCTGGCTCAAAGCAAAGAATACCAGAAAGATGTTTACTTGTGTTTTATTGACTATGCAGAAGTATTTGATTGTGTGTATCATGACAAAATTATGGATAACATTGAGAAGAATGGGAATTCCAGAACACTTAATTGTACTCATGAGGAACCTGTACATAGACCAGGAGGCTGCCATTCAAACAGAACAAGGGGATACTGCATAGTTTAAAATCAGGAAGGTAGTGTGTCAAGGTTGCATCCTTTCACCAAACTTGTTCAATCCATATGCTGAGCA